TACATCCCATCAAATGTCATACATAAATTATGTTAACTAAGTGTATTACACTCCTATATGTCTAGTCATCTGATTTTCAATAGTTATATCATTTATTCGAACTCTATCAAACATTTTGAGACGAGCATATCAGTGAAAAGATAATAAGTCTTCATCTATTAAGTATTACTCATACATCGTAGACCAACTTATAAACTTGTTTTTAAACTGCGTCTTTGTGTATTTTTCACTCACAAATACAATCGTTTAAATTAAGTAAATAGTATCCGTTATTATTATTATTATCGTTATTATTATTAATTAATGTTACTGCTACTATTACTATGCACTAAATTGTTCAGGTCACAGATGTGAGACTTAAAAACCTACTTCATGCCTACTACCTACTCATTTTTGGCTTGTCTTCATCTCTCGTAATTAGTCCCTTATCTCTGTTTTTATTAGTAAATCTCCCTCTTTGTTTGTTTAGGTTATTGTTATCAACACTCTTGTTGTTTCAAATTAAGAAAAACCTATTTAACAACGGATTACTATCATTATCATTTGTATTAAATATCTTTCAACAAATTATAGCGAAATAATGCAGGCTTAGCTAAGCAATATTTCTTTGCAATCGCCTTTAACCATCATGGATGTATGTTAACGGTGTTATAGTTCTCAAGAAAACGGAGTGTAATATTATACAATACTAGTCGTGATAAGTTTGTCAGCAAGAATTATATTAAATTAATTTGAGCGGTTTTTATAAAGCTTATTTAAATCAAAGTTAGCTTTCAGCACATTATCATTAGAAATCAGCAAGTAATATTAGATAGCTGTTTCATTTTTTATGGAGTTGCTCAGTGTGGTTCCCATTCTCGACGACACATGGGATAGAACCAAAGACCATCAGACCTTATGACAAACAGTGTACTATTTAACTACTACTGATTAGTTGTCTCATATCGAAGATCTTCGATGAAGTTAAATTTCTAAAAAAAGAATTGAAAATTTCCTAGTATACTACCAGAGTATATACTTAATAGTGATTAGTAAAAGAAAATGAAAGATTTGGTCAAGTAGTTAACTTGTTAAACTGTTTTTGAAAGAATATGAAGAAGCAAAACATTTTAAACGAGTGTATTGGAAAAATGGATATGTTAAGCAATATTTCGAAAGTTTCTTTTTATTAGACCGGCGGGATCAGGGTAAAAAATGAGGCTGCGTAGACTTCTTCTGATCACATAGGTTAACTATATTTAAGTGAATCCCTTATAACTTACACTGTATTCCGAAGGCGAAGTCTTGAGAGGTACAGTATATTGGATTAGTTTCACAAATAGCTTCAAATGCCACTTCGAGATCAGCTTGATGTCGACTATCAACAAGATGTCAATGGATAAAACGTTTTATGATCCATTCTTTCCTTCTTGAAGAATAATGTGATGACGTGATAAACACTAACCTAGTTTTATGTAGGATCTGACTAATTCCTTAAAATATTCTTAAGTCTTCAGACTTATAACTTTGACTCAGTGGGTCAGTCATATGCAACGTAGAACCTAACGTGCATATGCATCGGCTCAAGTTGCCACACCACATTAACACTGCGAAACAAGGTTATCAAGAAAAATCCCTGAGTAGTAGAAGAACTAATACTTTTGTAGTTCTTAGTTAGATTCTAATTTCTAACGTTCATTTTTGTAACGAGAATAAGCATTTATAAACTGTTGGTATTCACCATATTGAATAATACGTATTATTGTCACGTGGCTAATCAGTTCACATACACTGTTGAGTACAAGGGTGATTTTTTAAGTCAACCAACCACTGGAAACTACGTATATGTATTTTTTTAATTCAACAGTAAACAACGATGGTATAAAAGTAATTGTATTCAGTTATCTACTGTTGTATTCCACCTCCAAGCCAGTCATAAGAAACGTGATCTAATTGTGAGCAGAATAGAGTTTTGGCGTTTCAATTTACAAGAGTTGTATGTGAAAGCAATAAGAAGTCCTCCCAGATAAAAAGAAATGTATTCTAAAACTCAATACGACTGTTTCAGTTTTTCATGAAACTTTCAATGTAAATACTTTAAAATTGATCAAATTGCTGTTATACACTCAAGGGAAAATCTATGGCGCGCTTACTAACGCCTACCTAAGTAACGAAACAAGAAATGAATTATGCTAAAAAGTATTTGCCAACATTACGTAAAAACTACCAACAGAAATCAATATTTGTTTTTTTATAAAATATGATTGGTTATTTTACTATTTGTTTCTTTATTTGGTGCTTATAAGTGTGCACTTTCACTGTATGTTGATTGGTTGACATACAAATTGTAGAAAAATTTACTGCATACCAGTGTTGTGAAGCATATTTCACCGAGTTATGCTTGTCACGTAGGCGGGAAATTTAACTTAAATCCAGTTATTGATCCAAAAAAGAATAATTTAAAAGATGCATAAACTTTGTCGTTTTTATTTCCTAATTGGAAATTACAAATAAAATGGAAATGTTTCTGTTCTAAATTGTTTTCTCAAACAGTATGATTAGTAATTGTTCCATTAACCTTTTTTCACCGATTAATTTCAGTTTCATTTGACTTAGATAAACAATTTTTACTGTGTCTTACTTTGTATATGCATGCTATATGCCAAAAAATTTGGCATCGAAGCTCTTTCGGATGAATAATTCTCATTTCCATTGACTAAGATTTCACTCAACCTAGGTGAATAGTTAAAACCATATCAATAAAGTAAACACTTATGTGATCTCATAATTCGCATAGTTCATTAAGTCGTTTACTATACGTTGTTACAGTATACATTTTCGAGATAGTTGAAGGGAAATTGTTTGCTCAACCATTGAACTACCAATTTCATCAACTAACTATTATGTTCATCTCCTTAGTCACTTCAGTGTTTGTTCGCTTGTGTATAAGTATGTTGAAAAAAGGTTGGGTGAACAAATGCATAGTTCTAATACATGAAGTCATCAACTGTTTGCTTAAACAATGTTGACAAGTGTAGACTTAGTCGTTTGAGCCTACGTTGTAATCATAATCTGTTATCGAAAAGGTTGTGTTAATATGACCTACAATGAATTTCAATAAAGCTGTTCTAAGGTTATTCCTCTAAATTTTGGTCTTATTGCCATAGCATACATATCAGGCTGTTAATGAAAGCCTTTCGTGTTTTATATCATTATAAGACTGACTATTCTGTCATGTGACTATAGTAAGGATGTTATTCAGAAATTAGAAATCATAATTTTTGAAAAAAGGACAATATGTATTTACTGGGATGCATATGATAGCTTATTAAATTACATATCAAGTTCTGATACCAGAAATTGGGTAAAATGAATAAAATCCCCGCAACAAGGACGTCATTAGTATAATATTGAAATAATTGCTATTAGCACTCATTTTTCGTGCTATCTCGAAACGTTATGTTAGTTTTCGGTCACAGATCACTGTCGCTCATACACTTGGGATATTTATACGTGTTAGATAATTTAGTTTTCATTACACTGAACAATTATGTGTTTTTTTCTTCTAATAAGTCAAAAGTAAGGTTGATTTCTTAATAAAGATACTGTTTTTGGACGTAAGTGTAGATAACATGTATATAATCATTTCAGTACATTTCAGCATCCAGAACCTAGGTAATAAGTCACGTGATTATTATTACATGATCTAAATTTTGGACTAACAGTAAATAAGATTGAAATAATTTTGACTAAATATTTGAAGGCTATTTAAAGATAATTTTTTGTGAAGTAACCAGAATCAATAATACAAGTCAAAAGAAATACTATAACAACAATGCCATTCATTGGGATAATTACGATAAAACACACTAGATGATATGTATGAATTTATAAAGTATTTTTCACTATCAAACCGATAGGTCCCAAGGTGCTAACTGTAACTTTTTTCCCTTGATTCCCAAAAAATACTAATAACTAAGTATTTTCTTTTTCAATCTTTGTTTGAATATGATATCCCAGTAAATTATTATGTTAGTGGATTCACTGGATAAATGACACACATATGATCACCAAAGTGTTGTTACCTGTAAACAGTATTTTGATAGCCTATTAACCAGTGTACATGCAAACAACGTGGGAGCTTTCTCAAATTATTTGGAAAATATTTACCACTTTATACAATGATCTGAATCTAGAACCATTAAAATGATCTTTTCGATGCGGAACATACTTTGATTTTACAATTGATAAAAAACAACTAAAACGTTTGAAAATAATTTGATGCTAAATTACTGTGCTCATCTAAGTTTTCTTACATTTCAGTCATATATTTTCAATTTATCTGTATTCTAAAGGTTTAGTAACTAGCAAAAACGTTGGTAGTTCATTTTGAGGTCCGCATAAGTTTTTCATTTGAACATATTTACTTGAATCGATTAATTAGCTTCATATTCATAAACTAATGAGTTCGAATATAACAGTTACATGATTGTTTCGCAGTAAGATTGACTAGTAAACCAATTTTGATTAATCTTTAAGCCTCGATGTATATTATGCTTACAATCTTCCATAATATGAAATATTAATTCGAGATTACTTATTGTTTCAGCACCGAATATAGTTATCTTTTATATTGATAGTATAATCGGATAGTGGCTAGCAGTAAAACTCAGGACGCATGGATCGTCTTATTTGAGATTCTTCAACTAGATGTACTTGTATCTTACTGCTGATATTCACACTGCAACTCTAACCCACCACTTTTGACTTCAAATGCCCAGCATGTTGTCCACTGAGCTACTAAGTTCAAATATCTACTTGCGTGTACAATGGATAAATTTCTTTTTATATCTTCTTGTTGTTTGTTTCACGGTTTGTAGTCCTTTCGGTTAGTGTTTATGGCTATTTAGAAAAATATTTCATAGTAAGTTATTAGAAAAAAGATTATCATTTATCATTATATCTTGTTAAATCAAATCATATTTTTCGCTTGGATAATCTTTTTTCATTTCACAATATAGGGTGACGATGGTGTCGTTGGCTGTTATTATCAATCATCAACAAATACTGTGAATATTCGGGCTGGATATAATGATATAGCTGGTAAAACTACGAATTTCTATAATGGACCAGATGAAGTAAGTAAAATGCAATTCGTCATAAAATTCACAAACACACAATTTATTAAATATCTAAACATGCCTTGACACTAAGAAAAAAAATATAGGAAAAGTTAATCTTTCTTAATCATTTATTTGTTGTCGACAGTATAAAACTATATTGTTCAATGTAATTACTAATAATTACTTAAAAGTTGTTAATAACAGAAAAATATCTGCTAACATTAAACGCAATTAAAGAAATTGTAATGTATTACTTATAATTGAGATTGAAAAATCTGTAACTTATCCATGTTCAAAAGTTAACACCATAACAAAACAGATGGAAATGTACACGTAAACAGAAATGATTACAATAAGTGGAAGTAAGAAGGCAGTTTGTAACAATATTTCAATAGAATTTTTATTTAAATTCCGCTGTAACTCAACTTTAGTCCTGATATTCCTTTGAAATGAGTGAATTTTTGACCATATTATTGGCTTATAAAAACATTAGATGACTTACATAAATGAATACAAAGTATTAAACCGAAAATTGTTTATTATATCTTCTAGTTGGAGGTTTAAATCTTCCCTGACCCACTTCATCGTCACCGGTTAATACGATTAGCTTTCACATATGAGATGTTTCAAACATTGATGCATTAAACCTCTTAATAAATAACTTCTCAATTTATACAATTTTTTTCTTCTGGAAATGACTAAATAATTCCTAATGTCAAACTTCGTTGTTGCTTATAATCAAGAAAAAAACTCTTGATATATACTTTTAAATTTTTCTTATTGTTTTCTGGAAACATTTGGCTAAGATTCAAAATTTTATTTATACTTCTGCGGTAATATATTTATATACTTACTAACCAATAGAGAGAATAAAAAAATGTTTTTACTTATTTTATTACATAACTACTTTTTAGTCTTTGTTCTATAAACATTTCGCTTATTTGTTTATTATAAAAAGAATAATTTCACGATCGGTACTATACTTAGTTGCCTCTTGATTATTTAACAGTTAGAACTACATCTTTCCTCTCTCCCACTAAAGCATAGATTTGTTTTGATATAACCTAAACTGATCTACGTGGTAAACTGTGTACTTATACGCACACGTATACGCCTATACACTTATTCAATTGCGTAGGTTATTTATATAGAAGTACTACCAGATAACACATTTTGTCAGTCCACAATTATATATATATATATATATATATATATATATATATATATATATATATATATATATATAATTATTTTCGGAATTTAATTTATAGTGTTTTTTGTCTTTGGCAGTCAGTTAGTCAGTCATCAGCAACGTAGAACCTGATACATATGTGTATCGGTTCAAGTTGCCACACCGTATTAGCACAGCGAAATGACTTAGTTACAAAGTATTGTACCATATTACTGTCGATAAATGTTTATGTACGTATGTATATAACCACACATATATAATAAACTAACCAATTTTGTTTTGAAGAATACCTTGACCTACATCTCTATTAATTTAAAGTATAAAGAAATTTGGAAATGTTTCTATTTTCTCTGTTTTTCTTTATCGATCCACGTTAGATGTAAAGTTACAAATACAAAAAAAAGAATAAAATGGATTGAACATCAAGTACACAACTGCACTCTGGGGGTAGGGTGGGATGGGGATAATTTTGTTTGTGAATAATTTCACTAAAGATACATGACTAGAACATAGGGCATCAAAGACCCCCATGATATAAATGATATTAGCAGCTTGTACTATATCTTAAAATTTTGAAACAGTTTTCGTCAAAAAAAATTAGTTCTAAATTTACGGCACTGTTACTCCTTTTGTACTAATTCTCGAATTGTAGAAGTTTTGATTGTGTTATCAAAATTCTGAGGTGAATTTCAGGTGTAATCTTTTGCAGCCAACCAAATAAATTATAGGATATTGAATCCTGGAATCCGTTACTGAATGATATCTTGACTTTCTATAAGACTAAACACTAGAGATACCTGGGGTCAACCTGTTACGTGAGTTTATTAGTAGTCTGATCAGCCAATATATGTTCACTGAATGAGAAAACTAATATTTCATTTTTCAGGAATTGTAGCACTGGTTAGATATCAGACTTATTGATTTTCTTTAACAACGAACGAACAGTAGTCAAATTGTTACGTACAAGCTTAAACGAATGGGTTTCAATCAATATTGACTTTTTAAGTTATTGAATCACATAGCCTAATCATATTAGCCTAAAATAAAATAAATTAGGAGCTGCTGAAGATATATTCATAAAAATAATTTAAATCATAAAGAAAACTATCATCCTCATACAGTTTCAATGTCTCTGGGGTGTTATCTTTTCAGGTGTTGATTTCTATCCTAAACTCCTTTCTTTTTGTCCTTTGATATTTTTGTCTACAAGATGGCTAAAATACACTTTCTCTGTAATTTTGTTTTCCAGATACATGTATTTTTTATTTTTTAGGTGTTATCAAATGAATAGGCATAGCCTACAAATTACTTATTCTTTGCTGTTATGACTTATATGTGAACGTTATTGTCCAGTATTTAACAAAAAAACAATTGTACATAGATAAACTCATCCTCCTCTCATTATACTGCCTGATTTGGAGCAGAGATAATGTTATTATAGCCAGTCAATTAGTCGTAAACTGGAAACAGTGTTTTTACATAAATATGTAAATGACTGATGTCAGATGTGATTTGTATAGCATGATGTTTTAGCGAGTGTTATAACGGAATAAAGACTGCAAGGAAGAAGATATAGACACACATATGTGAACTTATTGAACATCAAAAATGAGTCCAGAACTTAATCTAAATAAACCGAGTTTTTACAAGTTTTACTTAAACTTATGAATAGTCAAATTTAAATAAATTGAACTGGATAGTTAAAATAACCCATTGTGTCATTGAATAAGAAAAAGAGAATTCACCGAAGAAAATTTTCTTTCCGACGAAATCATTTACCTTAGTTGGACATGATTTCGTCGAAAAGAAAATCTTCTTCTCTGAACCCTTTTTTTTATTCAATGAACTTGATGTATGTATACAATCTACGACATCACAAGATTAAGTTGGTGCGTAACAAACAAATGTTACTATTCCTAATATGGTCCCCTTTTTAGCTGGACAAATGCGAGTTGGTTTTTCTGTAGGTGTCCTTGTGGTGTGTGCTATTGATATCGACAGATATAAGTGGTATATATCACCAATCAAAAGTGAAATGCCTGGATACAGAAGGTTAAGAAAATCGAAGATAAGAGAACGAGAACAGAGAGTGATTGGTGTGCAAATTAAGGGACAGTCAAGTCTGTAATAATTGATTAGCACTTTGTAAATAAAGTGTTTACTGCATGGTTTTCAGATTTTACTGTGATTCTGTAATTTCGTGTTTAAATACATTTGGTTGTTGTTGTAACGGATTGACTGCGGATTAGATAGCAGCGTATTTATCGATCGGATCAATGTCACGCGAACACGTACGAACGACCTAGAGTCCCGATTGGCCCCGCTCCGCTGTCTATCCCAGCCAGTCGAGTCCAGAACACAAGTCTCAGCCTCTGAGTTATGAATCATTATATTTTAGACATGCTCTGTTTATATACCAACCAAACAAACCACATCGTACCATAAAACAGAAAACATTTGTACAATATTTAACAAGTGAAATAAATACTGACCAATAGGGAATGCCCATTTAGAGTCCAAGGTCACCATTAGACTTAACACGATAATTATTGGTATATTTTTCCGAACATCCTAACAGTTGTTCCCGCACTCGTTCACTACACCCTGATTTTTTCTCATTTGCTTCGTGTAACTGCAAAATATTTCACACAAAAATGCATGTTAATTGCTAAAACCACATGTAAATAGTGTGTTATAAAGTTTTCGGAAGAAAGGTATGTGTTCATAACCAGGTCTTAGAGATGATAATAAGAACGACAATTGCTTAGTTGAATATTAAAAACCAATGATTGTGTTTTATCATTTCTGAATGCAAAACTACATCCCCAAGTTGAGAAAATCAGTAGCTGGATTTCGTTTATTTCAGTGAATATATATCTAAATGAAGGGTCAAAACAATCTTTTTCAGATGTATTAATAAAGATATTCAATGCAGTTACTAAAGTTGATTGCCTCATTGATGAACATTCAAGTAATGTTTCTTGTGTGGGCATCTCATGGGACACACTACGCCTGTAATAATGACAGTGCACTGTTTGTATGATATTTACCCAACTTTTTTCCAGGATCCTATTGATGATATGGATTTTTATCTTCCCAGTATGTATAAATATTGAACAAGGTTGAAAATGTAAGTGACTTATTAATGCATAGTTAAATTGGATGGATATCTGGATACTGTATGTCTCGAAGTTAATCTTCATTATTGATTCAAGTAAAACTTAAAAGGCGTAAACTTCAGATTCGTCAAACTAATGTATCCCATTTATTCTAAATGTCTTACGTTTTTTTGACACCTACAGTAAAGTGTTCGAAACATCATAATTATGGTTCTCAAGACGATTAAAATGAACGGTTAGAGAGGGAGTGATTTATTTTCAAAGATTTAATCTAAAATCACTTATAGTTTATTAATAACACAACGGTTTGCTATTCTATATTTAAGCTTGTTTTCTTTGTGCTTCTTTTATAAACTCTACTCTGCTCTTAGAATCCACTTTTCTCTCTTTTATTTAGGTTTAGTTTTATTGCATTCCGCTAATTGGGTTATTTATGTAGTATGAGGCGATTTCTCAATGTTTGAAATAGTTTACATCTACTTTTTTTATCTATTTAAACGTGAATTATTCTTCTGATTATAATCTTCTCATTTGTAGTTTTCTGATTGAATCAGCTGTTAAAGGAGTTTGTAACTTTTGAGGGGTAATAGTTTCCTAGGTTTTTGGAAATATCTGCTGTCTAGAGTTCTTTGGATACACTATTTCATTCGACTGGTTTCAAATCAGAACACAAATTGGAAGTAAACAAAAATGCATCCCAAAAATTCGAACAATAAAGGGTAATGTAGTAAAATGTCAACATACATATATGACGTACACAGGAATACTCTAGTATCTGCTCAGTTTATTCGCTAGTGTTGATTGGTCGAATAATGAACCAAGTTGCGCGTTCTATTTCGATCTAGTCTCGAGCAAGTAATAATCAAGAATCTGCTAAGGAGTGAAGTTTTTCGAAAAAGATAGACATAGTTTGCATGAATATTACCTAATCTGACTTTGATTTATTTATTAAACAACGTAGGTGACAAATTCTCATAAACTTGTTTTTTTTTGTTCAACATTTTTCAATTTATCAGATCTATTCGAGCTCATTTATTATTATTATTCATAGGAATTATTAATAACAGATGGTGAGAATTTAGGTGGTACATTTAATGCAATGGATGGTACATTACAATGTCGTTTTAGACGACGTGTTCGACCACTGGATACGATTCATCAATTAATGGATTTAACATCACCGAATGCATATCATTTGATTGTTACTCGTGGTGTTGAACGTAAAAAAGATGGATTCGGTCGTCCTTTTGCTGGTGGAGAATCAGTGTCTCAACGTCCGGTTGTCATTACTTCGTAAGTAATTGAATTATGTTTAATCTCCTTTTTAAATCTTCGCTATAGGCTTGTTTTTCTCTATAAGAGTAAAATTTTTAAAATATATTGATTTTCTTGTAAATTTATAGCAAAAGTTCTGGAATTATTAACTGTAAAGTGAATGAAAAAGGGTAGTTGATTGACCGTTTGCTATCAAAATAGCTTAATAATAACTTTTCTGACCGTTGTGTACTGAATTACATAAGTTTCAATCGGTAAGGGAAAGAATAAAGTTACAAAAATCCCTGGTCGGTTCAAGTGAAGACAAATATTTTTCTTTAATAAAAAAATTGTTTCGTTTCGAAAGTGAAGGTAACAGACGATTTCACAGTGATGAATTACGAAAAATAGTGTCTACAATTTATACAGAAAGTAATGATTCCTAGTTGTCGTGAGCAGGAGCAATGTCACTGCCATTTTGAAATCTCATATTATAAAAACAAAACTTTAACCAAGTGTGTTGTTATTGTCAAGTAAGTAGGATAAAGTAAATAATTGGTCAATTATTCTCATTACGTTAGAATATTTTTTAGGAAAGACAATTTGATAGATTTATTTCTTATGCATTTGAATATTGTTAGAATAAACGATATTTCTATTATTTTGACAAAAATTGTTTTGGACACTAATTTTAACAAAATCCGTACCAATACAAAATAAATAATTAGTCGTTAATACCAATAAACACGTATCATCAAAGTTATACAGTCTAATCAGTTTGAGGAATAATTTCATAACGACCACTGACTTTATAGATAGATATAATGTCTTCATTTACTAACCGTTAACCTCCTTCCATCCTTTTCATGTTCCATCTAATGGTACATATTTAACTGATTAGGTATGCATATATTTAAATAAAGTTTAAATCCCTCCTCCTCTATGAACACTAAACATTCAACATATTAATTCTGTACTCTTCAACGTTACCAATAAAGCACAATCAACATTGATTACCAACTGTTATCTACCTGTTTTCATTAAATTTCCTATAATTTTGTGATTATTAATTCAATGTTAGATCTAGACATATATTTGTAATCAATTGTTTTACCTTTTTTCAGACCTATTTATGGAAGTATGACAGGTATAATTGGTCGTGGTTCCGCAATTGCTAAAACTCATGGATGTCTTATGGTATTAGCTTGGGTATTATGCGCTAGTATTGGTATTATACTAGCTCGTTATTATAAAGATGTATGGCCTAATTCTGGCCTATTAGGTGAACGTGTCTGGTTTCAATCTCATAGAATATTACAAGGCATATGTGTCGGTTTAACGTGTATTAGTATAATTTTGATTTTTATCTATTGTGAAGGATATTCACAAGCAACAGCATATCCATATTACATACATCCAATACTTGGTTTAATTGTCTTCTCTTTGGCTTTGATTAATGTAAGTTTTATATATGATTTGTAGGAAATTTTTCATGTTTCCTTAGCATCTATAAATAAATTTTCTATACATATAACTTCATCAATAACTAGAAGTATTGAAATGATCTACTTGATAGTTTGTTGACATAACCTCAACTTGGACATCCAAACAACACAGTTACCAGGATATAGAATCACTGTGTGATATTATAATTTATAAACGAACCAATCACATTTAAGATAGCAAACCTTGAATTTTGGTGCGAAATTCATTCACCTATTTGGTTAGATACCATTTTGGTATTATAGCTGATGTCAATTCGTGATGAAAATATTAAATCTAATTTCTAAACCTAACATTCAACTGTAAATCCTAATTTTTCATACTAATATATAATTCTCATTTAACCTTGATAATAGGTGGACATCCCAAGGCCATTTTAACGTTGCTCAGAGGTCGTCCGTAAATTATAGTCTTACCGATCTCTGACCAACTAAATCAGAACTGTGATTTATGTGTAAAAAGATTTAATCAAGATTAGACGGCGGGAATAATTACCAGATAATGAATAATGATCAATCAAGAATCACGAAGTAGTCCGTACTCCATCGCTTTCACCCTTCACATCCGTTGGGGACGTTAGGTCCCCAGAACTTATTTGGAAAAGGTTCTAATTTTGTGATTTTATTCTGAAAATTTGAATTTTATTTTTTTTGGGCCAAGAGACGCTTAGTTGACCGACAGCTTACATTTCCCACTCGGAAATCCTTGACTGTCATTGGTTGACGGATTTTTTAGTACGCTATTTTGTAGCTCTCCAAAAGGTCGTTTCTACTGTTGTATAACTAAACTTGATTTGTGTGCTTAGTGACGTCGTATTTTCTGGGTGCTTGTAGAGTACATTCTCTACGCCCCATCAAGACTTCTTGATCTAGTTAGCAGGGCCGGGGACAGCGGATTAGACTAGCCTATCATGTCACTGTATCTTTGACCTTTCCGTTTACCGAGTAAGGTGAACTCGTAATAGCATTCAAGTATATCAATATCATATCAAGTCATTATATCTGAAATTCTCTGTTTTGTCCGTATTCAAACTACTGACCTTTGGGTTGAAAGATCTCATTGGTCAATAACTTAGAGTTTCATACCGATATTAAGTCATGATGTATAAAAAAATCAATACATCTAGTCATTAAATATATAATTAAATTAGTTACTTAATCGCTGCTCCTATTTGATATACAGAAATCAAGTAGATGTGATAGGTAGAAGTCACAGAAACTAAGTATGGTTAAATTATATTCGTTTCAGTTGTTTAATAGGAGCTAAACAAGTACTCTCTGAAGTCCTGAATAGTCCAAGAAAATCAGCGAATTCATGACTCAAACAAATTGACTGATTTCTTTCTCAATTAACCAGCTCTTATTGATATTTGCATAATATGAAGTTTCATCACGTAACCTTGTAGATGGCATAGTTTTGTGATCCTATTGCGTTGTAATTCACCTATCGAGCACAAGTTTATGTACTTGTACTTGGGCCATATTTTATGTGTGTGTGTGTCTACTAATACTACCCAACTAACTGAACTGAAGTAAGTTGAGTGGGGTCCAATTCTGATGCTTCAAGTCGAGCATTTTCATCACTAACCTTCACTACTCCAATGTGATTCCTGTAAACTCAGTGTACGTTTTCTCTTCTGTACTCTTGTTTTTTACCATTTACTCGACACATATTGTACTTATGTTGACCTACAAGTTAAGTCTCAGTCTGCCTTTCTCATAAAACACCTGAATAAATATACCCATTCATTGGTTTGCTACTTTAAATCTATTTATGATTTAGAGAGTTTTCGCCTCAAAAACATCTCTCTTCTTTTATATTCAACATCGATTATATCAAAGGGGAATTTATTGACGTATTTAATTCCTTTTAAATTTGCTTCATACATTTCATTCTTTTAAGCCAATTATCGCATTATGCCGTTGTAATCCAGCCCATGAATACAGACCTTGGTTTAATTGGATACATTTTTTCATTGGGACATTTGCTTATGTACTATCTGTACCAACAATGATGTTAGGTTTACGTATGCCTGCTGCTGGTCTTCAACTACAATTTATTAATTATCCATTATGGATTTTAATATTTTTTGTAATCTTCCAATTTATTATTGAAATTACTCTGGAGATACATGGATGTTTCTATTATCGTCGAAATAAAAGTAAGACATATGTTTCAGATTATTATTGCTCATTATTTCCTGTTTGTTTCATTATGTCTCACTTTTTGTTAGACGATTCTTTTTAAAAAAAATCCAGTAACATATTAGTGACTTTTTAAATTATATACCTGACGTTAGTTGCACAAAGTTAAATCACCTTGTTTTATATTCAAAGACATCATTCATGTGTTCATGGCTGTGAAATTTATACCGTTGGTCGACTTTGACGATCTAATATATAAATGAATATAGTGTACTCAGTATAGAGACATTTAGACTGGTAATCACTGTGCAGCTTCCTAGATAGAATTCGGTCAATTTTAATGAATAAGGATAAACACAAAAATCGTTGATTACTCAGTGATAAATCCGTGTACTAAAAATAAATAGAGGATATAATGATTAGCTTATATTTCAAACATTGTTTGAGTGCAAAATGTGAACGATCGGAAAATACAATGACAGATCTAACGTACTTTAACAAACCGGACAACTTATACAGAATTACACTTCAACGATGATGACTTCATGCGAATTAAGAGAGGGGAAGTATGTGTTATATCCGTGCGAAGATTAAATCATGAGTAACTTCTGAGACATATTAATTGAATAATATTATCTATATATTCTTATGGTATAACTATTCAATAATTAGATTATGTATATTTATATTCCTCTTATTATAAGCTTCATTTCAACCTATAATTTATTATTATACGATTTACTGTCCCTAAATTATGCTCAATTTATTAACTACTGCCTCCCACGTTCACGGCTACCTTTTGGCTTTATTGTGTACAAATTTTATTTCCTATTTTATGGTGCGTTGCGGTCTGTTTGTTTGATATATAAACCCAGTATGTTTGAAATAAATGATTCGATTCGCATAGTGGAAGCTGGTATGGGTGTTCTGGACTCAAGTGGACAGGCTAGGTGAGCAAAGGACCAATAAGGACGCTAGGCTACCCATACCGGTCAAACGTCATTGTTTTGGCACAGTGCTAAGATTGTATAAGTCGTATTTTGATTGGTGGATAAATCACATGATAAAAAGCCGGACATAAAATCACAACAGTATGGGGTTTTCAAGAGATCTTCCATGTGACTGTATGTATCATGCTATGTGGTTACAGATAGTGGATAAGAAGAGATGGACCTAGGTTTCGTGGTAGTTGGTACTCATTAATGAAACGTACCTACAATCTTGACGGATCTAATGTTTCTCGTTGAAATCAAACGCTCATCACCAAGCTTCACATTATGTATGGTATTTTACGGAACAAAGTAACAGTAGAGATAAATGTGCACTACATGACAACGGTTATATTATTTCTGATGTATAAGAAGGTCACAAGGATATTTGTTGTTGTCGTGAGTGATGTAGGTCACAACAATAATTTGCATCAACCATCCTACACTACTACTAAATTCATACACAATTTTAACACCACAATACCTCTTCGATTTCATTCCTTGCCATTCACCATCAATATGATATTGACATTTTTTGAGATACTAAACCGTCATATAAGAGTGTAATAAATGTTCTATTTAATTTTTTAGGATTTTATTTTAGTTAAAATGAAATTCCGTGTCACAGTTTGAAATCTAATTTTAAAAATTTTTCAATTTAATAAAGTTGTTTTTCTACGTGTTCTATCATACAATCATTCTCATTTAATAGAATAGAATTTATAATACAACAAGTACTAACAATAATAATAACGAAGCTTAATGTCGTTTAACAACTACAAATTTCAGTACTCTAGGAAGAAAAAGTTGATTTAGACCAAAAGTACTGTTCAATGAATAATAATAATGGATGTAAATTTATAAACGATCCTTAAAGATTCCATGATTTTAATAATTAATGATCAACTTGCTCACTAATAAAAAGCATGTGAAGAATTTCTATTATTGTTGATGGATTGTCCTAACCAAATAGTCTTATTTATGAAACTGTTTTATATTGTTGCCTAATTAATATTATTTTTGAAACCTTCGAAAAAAAAGAATTAGGCTACAATTTCTTTGCTAACAGTTTATTTCATCAATATTAAAATGTGATAGTTTTTTTCTCACAAGTTCGTATTGTGTGTAGAAAAGAAGTGGAAACTTTACGACTAAGACTATCCATATCAGAATATGTAATACTATTGAAATTCGCCTTCTGCTCCATAACGTTCTACCTGTATCAAAATCTTAGGAAAAATATATTTGATCATTATTGCATACTTTATATGGACTCCAATACGAGTTACACAAACTTATCTTTTTAATAAAAAACACGATCATCAGTTTGATGAACAATCCTGTATAATCCAATACAACTTACGGTAGTCATGTTTGAACAATGCCACAGAAAGCTCACATCCTCAATCAAATGAATAGGTGGATATATTCGTAAAGTACTTCAAGGAGAAGGAATGACTAAAAATATCACGATAACCAAGGTGAATCCAGTGACACTGAAGAGTCCAACTAGTAGAATATCTCGAATAGGAAACTACTAACAGATTTCGACGTTTCGCTTCCACCAAAATACCATATTTTAATCGTTCGACTCACTGAATTCACACCTGCAGTCAAGGTATATACCACACTACAACAGTGAATGTTGTTATGCATTAGTTACTCAGGTATTTCGAAGTCTTTCTTATAAATATGTTTTGCTTTATTGCGTATAACTAAAATCCTATAAAGCTCACTATGTTTATGTACGTATAAAATGGAATATATTTCTTTATTAATATCTTTGGTTTTTTGTACAGATAAGCGTCGAACATATGTACTAGAGATTGATCAGTATCAAGCTGCAAAACGTTTAAACAACGCACGTCAACCAAGACCTCCAGAACCGGAACCTTCTGTAAGTTCCATTTCATCCAACGTTTCTTTCGTTCTAGTGAATGAATGTTTACAGTATAGATACGTATTCACTTGACTTTTATTTAACGTTAGCTAAAAAATCTTCACTTGTTTAGTTGAATAGAAGGGAATATTTTACAAGGTTTAAGCATTATTGTCGATTATGATATAACAAACTCCCATGCCTATTTCTACCATATATATATATATATATATATATATATATATATATATATAGAGAGAGAGAGAGAGAGAGAGAGAGAGGCTTTTTACTTAATATGATTACAACAGTAATTTTCTTTTTTTCTCGATCCTAGATCTCCGATATTAGTATTAGTATGCACTTAATTATAGCACCAAACATGACTGTTTATATGAATACATCATTTCAATGAAATTCTGTGTATATCAATCCACTGTGAGACATTATTTAGTGGATTTAATATGAATATTTGAATCATACAATAATAAATCACTACATAATTTACCTAAGTAATTTATTTGTGGAATGCAATGGACAAGACTTGCTAAGATGAGTGCCCGAAGAAATTGTTATAATGTTTTAAAATACTAGTAGGTATCTATCTGCTTCCTTAGAAATGTTGAATAGAGTGAACAGCTCTTGTCAGTTTCCAACTTAATGCCATCATATCGGACCCTAGATGACGGAATTAAATTGTTATATTTTCACATTATTTACTTCACTATGACCAGTTACATGAATTAAATATAATCTTAAGTAAAATCTGACAAATTAAAAAAGTTTTTGAAGTTTTCTTGATAAGACTGTTAATATTAGCCAGTAACTGATTTTCTGCTTTACTTTTCGATAATTTTAGGGTCGCATGTTCAAATATTTCATAATTGGACTCCATGCTACAGTTTGCGCAATTGTTGCCGTTATCCTCGTCATAATCATAGCAGTCAATTAATAGTTATTTTCTGTTTAGCTTTTACACTACTTAACTGTTTTATCAGTAGTCTAAGTAACTATTGTAAATGTGCCTTATATACAAATGTCTCATCTATAACTGGCCATATTTCTTTACATTATCGTTATCGTTTACATGTATTCCGTTTCTTTTTTTTCGTTAAATCTTAATCAATTTTTTCGCGCGTGTATCCGTGACCTCTCATTTTATCGCTGGACATATAATTAATGAGTACAATTTCAGCTGTAACGTGTAAAACGTCATCGAGTTCGAAAAAACATTTCACAGATATTGAAAAAAACGCGAGGAAAATAACTTTATTCATAAATAATAACCTTGAATGACGCAAGTTAGTTTATTTTATTGGAGTTCCTCCAGAAAACCCTTCTATCCTTCTAAATATTGCTTATAACTTGTTTTAAGTTCAATTGGTTTTTTGTGCCTTGTTTTAAGGATTAATGGGACAAAGAAGAGGTAAATACGACTTACCTTTAAAGATTCTTCTGTGAAACAAAATATTTCTTGTCGACGAGTACACACAAACACGTTAGTGGTGATATATCACGTATATATATAACATTTATGCACCACACTAATATTTATAATGCTGCACCATTATTATTATTATTATTATTATTATTATTATTATTATTATTATTATTATTATTATTATTATTATTATTTACCATTGTTCTTAGCATTAACAACGTTTTTATCTCTCCAATTCAACCAGTATTTACACAAATATTTATCAGTGCCGTCATGTATTATTATTGATAACGAATTCGGTTATATACACTTTCAAGATCCATAGCTTCTGTTTTTTATATTAAAAACCGTTCATTTACAAAAAACAACTCCCTTGATGCTTTCTCTTTCTTTCATTCCACTACTGTTTATCGTTGTTTATACCTTTTCAGTTCATTATATCTATCTCATTTTCCAGTTATTTAACCCTTACCAAAACAATTGTTTATTCTTGATACGCATATGCTCTCTTCTCTCCCCCTATATGCTATACCTTTTTGTTATTCTTCAAACACAATCGTGTTGTTGTCCTGACATTTAGGTTTATTTGCCGAATTTGTTAACTTATTTATCATTTTTTCTCTACCTTAATTTTTTACACTATTCGTTTGTGCGCCGGCTAATTTTGTCTTGTTTTTGCTTTTGGTTCAAATCCTTTTTAATTTAAACTGAATAAAATGAGAAAAGATGTTTATATATAATACATATATACATATACAATCAACTGTTGTTGTTTTTTGTTTAGGTGTCGCTTTTAGAGAAAAACGTTTTTAATGAAATAACTATTCTTTTTCAATTTGACTACGAACAATCTGTTTATCAGTTTATCCCAATAGTGCCCGATAACAGAAACCGAGACTTATATGTTATATTTACGACTAATTGATCAGTTGTACCTGCATCTCAGTGTTAATGTTCGCGTCGGTACTCCAACCTGTTGTTCATTGCTTCAAGCACCAACTTGTCATCCATTGAGCTAATGTGTTCAGATATGTACTAACTTATTCAACATATATGAATTTATTTTATGGGTTTGTACTTTCCCGTTATTGATGTTAAGAATTTCAACTGGTTAGATGGGTCAGATGGGGTTTCCATTACTACTTACAACTCAATAGAAACTGATCAATCACAGCCGTCAGTGTTACCATCAGGAAACTGCCTACCCTTAAATATGGATAATTTTATTATTTCATGTTTTCTTAATCTCGTATATTGTCATACACTAATGGAAATAGTATGTAAAAATGAAAAGCAACTGGGAAGAATTTCAAACATTTAGTTTCTTGTATAATTTAAGATAGAACAAGTTCGTCATCATCTACAGGATAAGTGTTTTCTCATTCGACTTCAACGGTTCATATCAGCTCTAAAACAGACAGCAGATACCAGGAATGGTATGATTGAGAAAAATAGTTTGGAAAACTTAAGTTGATAATTGTAATCAAATATTAAAATCTTTCTACTAAGGTTGTTTTTCAAGGCTTTAGACTGTGTTTCAGATAATAAAAAGCCTTTAAAGAGAATTTGAAATCATCCTATTATGCAATCCAATTGGCCTTGTTCAAATATTGTAGAAAGATATATCGGAAACTGTCGACTAACATTTATCACAGGCTTATTGATGTCTCATTTCTAGGGTTCACTTGAGTTCTAACGAGAAAATGTGACCAGTGGGTTTCAGACATGTTAACTGTGCGACAAATATTACTAATGACAATTGATGATTGTCTCAATATCGTGTATTAGAATTTATACTACTTTCATTCATTAATTTTCTCAGTCTTAAAGGAGTTAACTTATGCCATTCCGACACATTATGTAAACAGTTTTACCAAGACAGATGTTGGTCGATTATACGATAGAGAAACGGATAAGTTGATCAAAATTAGGAATGACAAGACTGATTAAGTGTACGTGTATGATGATACATGAGTATGTCCTCCTTTGTTCCAGTCAACAAAATAGTTAGGAGTTACATAAATCTGTATATCTTCTTTCATGCTTTACAAGCATAAAGTTTGGGTATTTTTGATTAATGGAATAATAAGTTTTTAGCTTGAATCAATTTGCAGAAAAAGCGTGTAAATATGTTTTACTAATGATACTATTTTAAGTAGTTAAAATATGCTAGATGACAACACAAGGAACGTATTTATCAAAGTAATTTGTTGCGATTTTTACCAAATACTCTGAAAAGAAGCAGACACTCCCACTGTATAAGAGATAAGAAATGTTTTATCTGTGAGTCCACTAATCTGGGCATATCAGATAGGGAGATAGAGTTGTTTCGATCCAGTGATAGGTTTCCAAGTACAGCCTCAAGACTAGTAACGTGTCAGTTCGATTTGTGACTGAACGGCCTTGGGGACAGGAAGAAATCTTCTACCACTGACCTATGACCTGATAAGTTAGCAAGAGGGAAGACAATTTAATTGAAACTATTATCCAATTTATTCCTGACTCAAACTAATTCAAAAAGACATCTGACTAACAAGGCCACAACGTGCAAAAATGAGAAAAATGCAATTGTATCCAAACTAGGATATTGAAGTAAAAAAGTATGGAATACAAAGGTTACGTTAAAATTACAGTAATTTTGAACTAAAAAAGAATATCATAGTCATTTTTACGCTAAACGAGAGTTTATGTACTACAAAAATAAAGCAGGCGTAAAACTAAATGCTAGTACTTTGCAGACTTCGAATGAGTCGAAACAGTGTCCTGGAAAATAGCTTTCGTTGATTATCATTACTACATTTTTATCTCTTCACATCAAGAAAGAATATATAATTCATTCTATTCCAGATGTCTTAACATCACGTGAATTCGTAATCCAAAGTACTGTGTCTACTGATCTGACTAGTCATAGGACTTCCACTAACCATTCGGCAACAATATCATATGAGAAGTAATTCATTGCCGTTGTGGCATGGAGAGGAATAGTTCTACTATATACCTTTGAAATGACGTACAATCGTGAGATGGCAGTGACCAATGCCCTAGATGTTTGAAGTGATAATTGATGGCTGTTGACCCATCTTCCATTACTTTTCAAGAATTTGTTCCGCTTTTAGAAACTATGTTCTTATTTCTGGACAGACGAATTCATCTATCTCTTTTCAATTATGTTGCACACCTCCTCACTCGAAGAATCTTTAAAAGATATGGAACAAAGACATAATATTCATAACTCTGAGATTTTACCTGTGTATATATGTATGTAAATGTTTATACATGTTTGTTTGACTATCATTTTGCATTAGGTATAAATATTATAATTTTTATCCAAGACAGTTTCTACATACATGTACTATGACTCATATATTTAAGCTTGACATCTATTCATACCAAACATTTGTTCTTTGTCTGGTTGACCGCTATCCTGAGAACAATCTTGTTTGGAATAAATCTTAACACACACTTCTTGTCATATCTTGTTATTACACCAAAGCAAATGCAATTTCTATGGTATTTAAGTCAAATGACCGTACGAAGTTAAACTAGATAAACAATGGTAGCAAGGACGAAGCAAGCGACAAACACACTTATGGCCAGTTTATTCGGTTGTATCTATGTTGATGATTTATTTAGACAACTTGTATTAACAATGGGAAAGCTTAGAAAAAAGGCTTTACAAATTTATAAACAGGCTGTTTGAGTAAATATCTTATTGATCTATGATGAGTGTTGTTTCGCACGAGCGCCAATATACACATACGTAATTGTATCATATCAAATATGAATACTTTATTCACCGGAATACTATTACGAAGTTTAATATTTATTGAAAATAAATCTGTAAATAAAATCAGATACGAAAGTATAAAACCATATTGCTTAAATTATAATGCGCAAAATAAAGATAATAATAACGATGTTATTAGCTAAAGCTGTACAGACGTACATATAGGTATTTTACATAAAGTAGTAATGTTTTCATCGAAAGGGGTGTCGAAAATTTCAAGTATCGAGTAAGAATTACACAATGGTCAAAATGTTTTAAGAAGCAGTAAAGTAAAAATTGGCCTAGTGAAATAACTAGTGCCCAGGAAAAGTTGTGGTTCAGGTGAATAAAAAATCTCTCAGAAATATGGACAGTCAACCTTTCAGGATTTCTAATATTTTTAAATACGTATCTCTCACTCATTCAAAAGTGAATTTATTATTATTGTTATTAGCTTTATACAATATTATAATTTTGGTACTATATAAAATTCTCATTTCTTATTTCCTGATCGATCGTTGCGATAAATGTCGCCAGTTAGATGTTAACTGTTCAGGAATCGACATCTAATTAATCTATATTTTTTTCGATGCATTTTGCCAGTAACCACTATGTCTCTGATTGGGCTCCTTTGTAATTTGTACAGCGAAATGTTGTAAAATGTTCACAAATTCACCTGAATAGTTTATGCGACTAATAAGCATAGTCATGTGTTAAAACAAAAAAAGAAAAGAGATAACTTGCTGAAATATCCAGATGGCAGGAACAGGTAGCCCAGATATTCAAGTAAGCTCACTTGGTTATATTACCTAATGATTGACTGATATTTTTCATAATCAATCTATCATCTTTTGGATTTAAATGCGTTTGTACCATATTAGATAGATTGTTCAAAATAAAATATTTCATTATATTATTTATCGTTATTATTAAAATTTGACCTAATCGATTTATTTTCAAATAGACCACATCTAGTAACCAGTTTGATTAAGAATAATGGATTATCAAAATGTAGGTTATCAATTTAATGCTAACCATAAAAATATTCATTACCAATCACTGTTTAAACCATAGAAATCAATAGTTAAACAATCCACCTTCACGAGACTATTATTAACAGTACAGTTCAATTTGTATTTACAAAATAAACAGTAAATAAATGAGATATGAATAGTTAACATTGAACAAATAGTTATTCATTCTGCATACTTTTTATTGGTAACACTTTTATGCTACATGAATTTATGAAGATTAGTATTGTTCAGATGGAAAAATAAAAGAAATGCAGTTAACATTATGATCTTTATGATTGTATTATTTTATAAACTGTTTATGATTTTTATTTCAAAAGGAAAAAAACAACAACAACAACAAATAAACATAATGGGATAAACAAAACAAAAATATTGAAAAAAGAAACACATGACATGGAAATAATTTTTGTAATTTACTTTCATTATTTGCTTTACTTAATCATCTCTTTATTGCTAAGTTTCATATTCAGCGATAAACACCTCAGCAACAAATAAAAGCCCAACAACAGTCAGCTTTATATGAACTGAACATCAACAATATAATAAAGATTACAATAATAAATGAATAAAAAAAAGTAGGAGGGGAAATTCTGACTGATAACTACATGTTTTCATTATGTTTTTTGTTGTTGTTGAAACATTCAAATTAAAGTAATTCCTAGAATTCAATTCTTTATTCACCCAGTATTAGTTTTCCAGTGGTTCTATAACTTTTTCTTAAAATTGAAAATTGACTCTGTGAGTTGATTGTAACTTATACAATTTCAATTAAATGTTGAGTTTCACCTAATCGATAAATTCATCATAAGAATTTTTCCTGACTGTACTAATAAATCATCATCATCATCATACCAGTTTATTATAATTTCAGAATAAACCAACAATGATTATTATAAAAACAACGTCAAACGCAATTTTTCGGTTGTTAATATTTATCTGAGTCATAGCTGTAACCACGTGCAC